GTCTTTATGGATGATTTTATTAGACAAAGTAAGGAGCATTGAGGATTTTACGAAGGATTTTGGATTGTAAGGATTGGATGCGGGAGGAATTCGATGGCTCTGTGGATCCCCAAATCTTTTAAATCATTAAAATGTGTTTTTAGGCCATTGCAGTTCCGTTGAAGTACAGCCATGTTTAGATATTATATAGATGTATGCCTGCATTGGAACGCATGCACATAAGAATAATAGGTGTAACAAAGTAAGGATTTAATTGTAGAAAAACTAAAAGAAGGTCGAAGAAAATATCAGTAATCATAGATAGAGAATAAAGAAATGAATAAACAATAACAAGAGTAACAGAAGAAAGATCACGCGAGTAACGTAATAAACAGGTAATTAAGTGATAGTAGTAATAATAAAAATAATATAAGAAAAGAAGAATAAAAACATATGTAGATATATAGTAATCAATGCAAAGTAGTAAGTATTTAGTTGTAGAAAAGATCTGTTTTCCATTTGAAACAAGAGAAGAAATAAGAAAAATGTGGTAATGGAAGCTGAAAAGTGAAAAAAATGAATATATAACAAATATAGTAATAATAGAGGGAGTGTATAAATAACCTATTAGATAAATAATTTAATAATGACAAGAGAAATGTATGTAATAGTATTGGAGATAAATATGTACAATGCACATTAGACTTATATAAAGTATAAACTATATATACATCAGGCATATAAACGAAATTAGGTTTATACATACAAACACACATGCACACATACATATACAGATATACTCATCACACACATATGTATCAAAATATATATATATGCGTGGTATACAGGCACATATATAGATACACATTTTTTTCTTCCTTCACTTTAATAAAACCATCTTCGGCCATAGACTGATCTGTGTTGTCTTTAGACATAGGTGCGATCTCGTTGTCTGACGAGATGGATGACAATTCCGTTGAACCGGGCAGGTGACTAGAGGTACCACCTGTGAGGTAGTGATAAGAGGATAGGAGGAGGGAATTTTTTTAAAGACTTTTTTAAGACAAATTCAGAGTAAAAATTACTTTAAATTTAATGAAAATTAAAAGAATACTAAGTAACCTTAGTAAGTTTCGTGCAAGTAACGTTTGGAATCGACCAAAAAATACAGCATAAATTAACTTCTTGAATAAAATTTTAAATTTTAAAGCATCATCAAAATATTGCAATAACCTAACTCCCACTCCAATGCCTTTCAAATTTCACAGCCATTGTATTGTTAACAATTATTTATATTAATTGTAATTATTAAATGGAATTCAAATAAATTGATACTAAGTAATTTCTATACTATTCTCCAAATTTGGGTCAAATCGAATGCTCATGTTAAATAATACATTTCCTGATCTGAAAGCGGAGTTTTTTTTTTTTTTTGTAGTAGTAGATACAATTCGATAAAATTGATCCTTTTTTAATTATAAGTTTATCAATTCCTAAATTCTCTTCAAATTTGAGCCAAATCGAACTTGCGGTTTTAGAGATATAGACATATAGATATATCAAGGAAAATATGTTAGAGCATATATACGAGAGAGCAATGGAAAGAATTCAATATTGTTGACATTACATTATTTTTTCACAAATACCTACGTTTTATCCAACTTGGAGCCAAATCGAATGAGTCGTTTCTGAAATATTGGCTTATCTAAAAAAATAAGTTTGCGCGCGCGTAAGCAGAAGTACTGGTTAGAATTTAATAAAATTGATATGGTACTATCTGGACACCAACCAGCACAATCACTCAAAATTTCATGGAAATCGGATAAACGGTAGTAAGTGATACGCCCGTTACATCGATTTGACTACAGACAGTCAGACACTGAACGAAATTTGATCTTTGATGTCTGAAACGTAAAACGCGAGTGTAATTTTTTGATTCTGAGCATAAAATTTTGTTGAACTTCTCGCACGAATACCATGCTTCCCTATCTTCGGTAGTGAGGAAGCAAAAAATAGACGGACTCATATATTTGAGAACTGGATAGAGTTAAGAAGAAAAGTTGTAAATAAAATAAGGAAAAATTATCTCAAAAGTGAAAAGTAGATAGATAGAATTTAATAAAGTCGTTTCTGGTGAATATAATGAAGAAATTGAAGTGTCTGGTGAGGATGACGAGATTTCCTCCTTCTATTGAAAGAAAGTTAATTAATGAAGGTTAAAAACAAGTGCTCAGAATCGAAATATTCCACTCGCGTTTTACTTTTCAGACATGGAGGATGAAATTTGGTTGGATAGTAATTTTATGTCACTGAAAACCTTTTAACGGTTCAAAATATCAATAATTCATTTTTTTTATTGAGAGGGATGGACACCAATAAGTTATAATAATAGACAAAAATGTCTTTTGATGATCTGTTCCACAATTGTTTGCTTCCTCTCTACCGAAGGTAGGGGAGAATTGGGGAGGGGTGGCCGAAGGGGCTAAAGCGTGTGCACAGCACAGCGAGTTGCCCGGCGACCAGATATATGAAGTTTTGAGAGACAAAAAGTACGAGTTCACGTCCCGGTGCCGGAGGAGATATTAAATTCCCAGCCCTCAACCTCCAGCCTGGGGAAATCCCGTATAGCCTAAATTGCGAGGTAGGGAAGAACAAAAAAAAAATAAATAAATAAAAAAATTGAAAATATGTGTTTGTGCTCAAAATTGAAAATTTCAAATCGCGTTTTACCTTTCAGGCATCGAGGATCAAATTTCGTCCCGTGTCTGTCTGTCTGTAGCCAAATCAACGGCCATATCACCTACTAACCTTTATCAGATTTTCATGAAATGTTCAGGGATGTGCGGATTGGTGTCTAGATGGTCGCATATCAATTTCATCAAATTCCATCATAAACTTCCACTTACGCACGCGCAAGTGTATTTCCTCGGCTATGCCAATATTTCAGAAACGGCTCGTTAGATTTGACTCAAAGTTGGAAGAAAGATTGGTGTTGGTAAAAAAAAAATAATGCTGTATCAATTTCATTGCATTCCGTTAACAGCTTTCTCTTAGATATGCCCAAACATATTTTTCGTGATACTTGGTCATATTTGTGAATTAGTTTGTTCCTTTGGAAAGTCAACCAACTGGTTCGGGTCTCAATTTTCCTCTCAAACTTCAAAGTGATAAGGAGCTTTATTCCAAATGTTTTTGAGCTAGTTGTAATTGAAGGGTAATCATAAATATAGGGTAGGATGAAAGCATCGATAAGTTCTAAATATGTATGGGCCTTCATTTCTTGTATTTTGTGAACTTCATCCACATACTTATATTTCTTCTTGAATTACTTTTGTTTGAACTGATGGAAAATATCGGTGAAATTTGTGACTGACTGGCTGAACTTACTTGGCAGACGTTTTTTTTAACTACAACACGTGCCCCCTTTGGTGCAATGAGATGAAATTATGGGTGCGTGGTAATTTTCAAGGCTCCTGTTACCATAAAAGTACGTTGAGTCAACATTTTTCACGTTTTTTTTTTTTTTGTTTTTTTTCCTAGACCTATTGTTCAATTCATATGATTTCTAATCAATTCGGCTATTAATGAATATGTATAAATATTGCAATTGCCTAAAACTCACTAGTCCATCGGAACACTTCCTCCAAGCACAAGTAAATTAATCTAATATAGCGCTATTTTTTTTACGACGAATGGAAGGTTAGTACACTAATTTACTCTAAAAGTAAAGGATTTTATAAAAGAAACTGTGTCTAATACGGAAATGAGAGCAGCTATTGGGTTCTTATATTATTAAACACTGGCAAAATAAACTATATTATATTGAAGCATTGTTATGAAACTCAGTGATATTTAAATTAAATGTTTCTCAAAAAAATAAATCACAAATATTGCTGAGCAGAGGAAAACTTTTTTGGAGAGTAAAACCAACAGTTTTCGGCATACGGATATTTGGTTAAACAAATTTGAACCGGTTAATTCAGCAAATACCTCTAATTTTAAAATAAATATATCATTGATCGATTATTTTTTTATAGTAAAACGTAAAAATGTAAAAATACCTGTATGCGCCAGTTTTCGGTACCCTGAAGTATCAGGTACCCCATTTTCAATTTTAAGAATCTGTAAGTACCATTTTCTAACAGTCTTCAAAATTAAATAACTTTTGTGACATTGTCCAAAAATGTGGGACAACGTACATAAGTGGGAGGATAGGCAAAATCAAGGGCAACTAGTAATTGTACCAACCCTAAAATAGATGAAGTATTAGCTTTTTTTTTCATTCGACTGTTCCAAATATTTTCTAAAAATTGATTATCAAACAATTCCAGATATAAGAAAACGATTTTTAATTCTTTTTTTTTTAAATATCTGATCGGAGACTCTAATGAAAAGTTTTATAAAGATAAACCGTAAGTCCATAAATCGTAAAACGTTAACTTGAAAAAATACAAGGGGGAAGGTTTTAGTTGTGAAAAAAAAAAATTATAAAGATTCATGTCATACCGAAACTGATCAAAATTAAAAGTTAAATTTTGCCTCGTCTTGATTTTAACATTTATATTCTCAGGTAAATAATGCTAAAACTCATAAACATTTTTTTCTTTTAAAAAACATCCTTCCCTTCTTTTTCCAACTTTTAAACTAAAAAGTGTAGGTCGCTACCAACTGTTGAGGGTAAGATCCTATATGCCAGTAGTGGTAAAGATTTATTTATTTTTTAATAGTATTATAGTTTTCATCTATTCTTCATATCATATCGCCATTTAATTCATGATCTTTTTATTATGAATTGTTTCATTTATTGTAAGTATAGTAGAGTTTTCTAATTGGTTGTATTCTTATTCTGATTTTATAAAATTAAACTGTTATTATTTGAAACCAGAATAATTAAATTAAATTATTTATTAAACAATAATTTGGATTCTTTTATTTATGTATTACAATTATAAATAAAATTGAGTAATTACTTTATGTTCTAGACGTAGTTGCCTCAAAGTAACAAAAGACAAGATCACGATATGGTTTTGGAAAAAACGAAAGAGGATGTTTTGGAGAAAACGAAAGAGGATGTTTTGGAGAAACCTAAGTTAGTTTGGTTTAATGTAGTTGGTTTTGTTCTTCTGCATTTAATATGGCTGTACTCAGTGTACATTATACTAACTGGAAAAGTCAAATTAATAACGACAATTTACAGTAAGTAATGTACCTAATTCAAAGACTTAATGCTGTCATAATTTTAACCTTTGCTTTCATTTTTTGTATTGATATTTTTTTATATTCTTGTTATTGAAAATCTAATGCAACCAATCATTCGTGAATTACTAAAAATTTGTTGTGCGGACGAAAATATGTTAACAATGCCATAGGTACAGGGGAAGCAGAAATGAGTGAAGTTGAATTCGTCATTTGTATAAACATTACAATCGCATATTTTTTTCCAATTATAAACTAGCAGGTAATAATATTTAAAATTGTCTATGGGCTAGTTGTTCCAACTCAGTAAAACTTAGATTAAGTGTTATCTAAGATTAAACTAAGTTTTCTAAGGTTTAATCTTAGATAACGCTTAATCTAAGCTTTATTGAGTTGGAGCAACTGGCCCTAAATCAGTTAAGTTGGATACGTTTTTTTTTTTCTATAAAATATGTATTTGCGCATGTCAACAATAAGTTGACAATCAGCAAATGTGATGGCGATAAATTTAAATTATTGTTACGTTTTTTTTTTGTTGCTAATTTATATAATTAAAAATGTAGTTTTAGTTTTAAAGTTTTTTTTTAAGTGAAAACTTCTTTAGGGGCGTTTTGCACTTTTTGGTGGAGAATGAATTAAATTGATCCTTCAGATTTCCGAAATTTTAACGCTCGGGTTAAGTCGGTTAGAGTCGACTAAATGAAATATTTTTACATATGGATTAAAATATCTCAGAAACTAAAAATCGGGCCTGCATAATGTAAGGGAGGAAATTGTTCAGCATTTCATCCTCTCTGTAATAGACTGGAATTCCGAATTGTATCTTAACGCGACAAAGGTATACGGATAATATATCGTTAGAAAGAGGAGAATTAAAAAAATAAACGACATCCAATATTGAAAATTGTATGAGGTAACGGAGAGTGACGAAACAAATACAAATAATAATTTATAAAAACTGACATTATTTAACGTAAATCACATGTTTTCAAGGAAATTAAATGAACTTTTCTTACTAAATGTAAACTTTTAAATTTTTTATTAAGTTTGAAACAAAAGTATTTAAAATTACCATAATTAAGGCAATGGCATTGTTTAAGATACTACTCGTATTTCATTTTACTTGTGTGAAAGAAGTGAAATATAAAAATATTTCATGAATATGTTTATAACCGTAAATTTATTTATTGTAGTTTAATAACTGTAGATCTGATATTATATTCAAATCATTATATATAAATATCGTCCGTTTACTCCAAAAATTCATCATGTAACCTTTTAAAAAATTATATTAGTGAATAATTTGACAAATTTTTCCTTTGTGAATCCCAACATTATCCACTAATAATTAGTTTGACAACTTTTGACGTTTTTCTCTCCCATAAATTTCTTTTATCAATTTGTACATGAAGTTTCGAGATTTATCTTATCCCACTTCAGACTATTTTATTGTCTTTATTCATCTTATTGTATTATCATCTCAATTTATCATAACACTTGTCATTTTTTCATTTCCATTGTTGACTAGGCTTTTCCCTGAGAAGGGACCATACTGAGATTAAGGTATTTTTGAAATAAAAGATAACAAGTTTTATGATAAATTTAGATGATATAAAAATAATAAAATAGTCTGAAGATGGGAGAAAATAAATCCCATAACATATAAATTAATAAAATTAATTAATAGGAGAGAAAAAAATGTTCAGATATTCAAATACCTCATTAAAAACTTATGAACCACAGAACTTATGAAAAAAACTATAACTTTGCTTATGAATATTTTTCAAAATGTTCTTGTCCCAAAACAAATAAACAGTATATTATTTTAATTTTTATTATGTTTTATTTTTCGCTTTTAGAGATTGAATAGTTGATGCGGGAGACAATGTCCAACCACCTTCATATTATTTTTGTATTTAAAAATTGCCTAACGATTCGCGATGTGTCCAAGAGAACTGATTGCTTTGCCTATCTTACCACATGAAGGGATAATTCTAGACTATCTGTAGTTGTTACCGTTGATTTTGTAATGAACCCATTAGTTGATATTGTAATTGACGTGGTCGTATTATGATTATTATTATTATTTATTATTCCATTACAGCAGTGACCTCCTGTATCTTCATAGCCGGACTTGGAATCACGTTGGGGGCACACAGACTGTGGTCACATCGTAGCTACAAGGCCAAACTACCCCTCAGGCTGTTCCTGCTGTTGGGGCAAACTATGGCTGGCCAGGTATGCAACATTTCCCTTCGGAATAATGGAAATATATATTTATCTGTATGCACTGTATGAAATCAATGAAAATATCGCTGCTGATGGGGTAGAGATAATAAACAGAGTAGGGTAATATCGCTACTTGGTATTGATAGTGGCAGATATTCTGTACATCAACAATAGTTGATTGGTATCAACATGTACACTATACATATCGGTAGTATAGATTACTTTCCCGGCTCTCAGGAGCGATCGGTTTTGTTGGTTGGGGTATCGAACGAAAGATAACTTCATGTAGAAGTGACCAATCCCATTTCCGATTCTTAAATTCCTTCAACATCTTAAACAAAAGTCATCAAAAAAACTATAAATATAAAATTATAATCCGAATAATACAGAAATTCATAGCTGTCCTTAAGCAATTCCTAAAATTCCAAGATTCTATTCCTCAAAAAACCAGACAGCACCTTGTAACCTCTCTCGTTTGCCCCCACTTGGGCTACGGTTGCTTGGTGTATGAACGGCTGCCTGAAAGACTGGAGGTGAAATTTAAGAGACTTATGAACTATTTTATAAGATTCATCTTTAGAATTCATAGGCGTTCTCATGTTTTCCAATAATATACCGAGTTGAAGTGGCTATATCCTACTTCCGGACGACAATTCCATCTTAGTGTTTTCCTCTTCCAGGTCTTAAGAACCACAAATCCTCCCTATATCATTGAACTCTTCACTATACATTCCTCTATCCACTCTATTAATATCAGATCTCAACCTATTGATTTATATATCCCTTCACATAAAACTAAATTCTTCAGCAAATCCTTCGTCATTCGTGCTGTCTCCTTCTGGAATTCTTTACCTATCACCATACAGCAATCCTCATCCTTAAATTCCTTAAAACAACTCTTGTTCCACCACCTACTTCATTTTTAAACTTCCGTACCTAACCTATGTAATACTTGGATTCTATAATTACAACTGCTCACTAACAATTAATCGACAAGTTTCATTTGATTTAATTTATTTATTTACTTGTTCTTTGTATACATGTAAACCATATAAAATGTACTAGAGTGTTAAATTATTTACTATTGTTGTTCTGGTATAATTGCGATATCAATTGAAATTAACATTCAAACGATCCCTTTGTATTTAATCAAACCAGAATAATGGACCAATGTTTTGTACCATGTTATTATTATTCTTAAGGGACTTTAGTCCCACAATAAAATTATTTTTCATTTCATTTCATCATCTAAAAATTATTTTAATTAAATTTTTAAAATATAGCACTTAAAATATCGGAGTGAAATTAAAATACCGGAGTCAATCTCAGCAATAGGGCGCTGGGCTTCCAATGCTCAAGGTTCCTGGTTTGAATCCCGGCTTTTATGGCAGATAAATTATTTATTCTGTTTCATCGAGCGTGGATCGTCCCTGAGGTCGGGAGACCCTCCTGGGGCACACTCAGCCTCCATAAAGTGGGTACCCTTAATTAAATAATTGATTGAGAGAAAAAAGCTGGAAGTTGAGCGTGATATAGGTCAAATCACTTCCTTGCACCGTTGTACAAGCAACAGCACTTTTCCTAAATAGCAGTGAACCCAAGACCCATTGGGGTAATGGTAAAGGTTCTTTTTTGTTTTGTTTTTCTAAATTCCAAGTTTTTGTTTTTTTCAAATACAGTGTATTTTAATTACAAAGTATTTAAATTGTTTTTAGAAAATGTATTTCAAATACCAAATACCAAAAATATTTGTGTTTTATTAACAAACAACAAAATAAGAATACAAAATACTTACTGTTACTACCAGATTACACCAACAGGACACCTACTCTATTTGGTAATTTATTTAGTGTATTTAAAATACAAAACAAAATACTTTTTTGTCTTTCAGTATCATATAAATAAAATACAAATTTTTTTTTATAGTTTGTATATTACAAAAAAAATACAGTTATAAACAATACACATTATATTTTCCTTTTTTTTTTTTTTTTTTTGTCTTCGATTTTTCATCCGCACCTGTCACGGTAGTGACAATCAGCAGATTGGTGGTCATGTCGAAAATGGCATGATAGGCATGACGAAGAATGGAACCCAGCAGCACCTCTTCCCTGGTCTGTTTACATCCTAAAATCAGGAAAGGAGATCTCTCATCCAGCTCCTTTTCAGTCGCCTCCTGATGAGCATTTCAGCCGTGATAAGTCCATTGTGATGTCCGTGTAGTTTAGAATGAAATCGGGAATAGAGAGTACGTATGTGCTGGTCAATGGTTGGTTGTCTTAGGTCGGTATGTAAAGTCTTGTTGTTGACGTACCAGAGAGCGCAAGTTATTAGTCTTAAAATTTTTGATTGAAAGGATTGTAGTTTTTGTAAGTGAGTCTTTTTTGCTGAACCGTAAATCTGTGAGGCGTATGTCCAAATGGGTTTGAGTAGGTAAGTGTATGTAGTTTTTATGTATGTATGTATGTTTATGTGTATGTATGTTTAGTTTTTGTCTAATTTTCAATTTTGATTTAGAAAACAGGGAGTATAATATTTTCAGTCTCTTGTTCAATGTCTTTCTTTTCATTTTGACGTGTGGACCCCAGGTCATCCTTCTGTCGAATACCTCGGACTAATATTCGACAGTTAATTACTTCTTAAAATGAAAAACACAATACATATATTTTACTTTAAAACATATCATTTGACTACTACCCAGGTCTGATCTAAGCTAAATTTTCAAGTTCAAATTTACGAGTGGCTAGCATTTATTTCAAGTAATTGAAATAAATAAATATAAATAAATAAATTTTAAGAATTTGTTAATGTTGATCGAAATTGAATAGAACCTTAATTTGAAATCAGACTTAAAAGACTTACTTGTTATTTTCTTCCATTCACTTTTATGATCACAAAAGATGCTTGTAAACCACAAAACCAAGTGTTGATTGCAGAAAACCTTTAAGCCTATCTGTTCAGGATATAAATAAATATTTATTTATATTTCTAAATAATTTCATTTTTAACTCAGAACTGCCTGTGGGTTTGGGTTCGAGACCACAGGACGCACCACAAATTCAGTGACACTGATGCAGATCCTCACAATGCCAAACGAGGCTTCTTCTTCTCCCACATGGGTTGGCTCATGATGAGGAAACATCCTGATGTGATAAGGAAGGGTAAACAGGTCGATTTATCAGATTTGGAAGCGGATCCTTGGATCATGTTTCAGAAAAAGTAAGTTCAAATCATAATAAAACGATTTTTTTCAACAATTAAATCAATTTAAACATCTCTGCTTTTCCATTTATTTTTTTGGTAACACTGTACGAGTGTCACGAGTGGACCAAGATCTCATGGTCACTCTATAAATGGGATTCTGTTCATAGTCGAGGATTGGCAAAGAGTATTGAAGTTGGCCAGTGCCACCGTGGTTTTCCACCCCTTTTCCACAAAATCTTTGTTGTACGGGTAGTTTTTCCGGTTTATCTGAAGCCCAATTTTTAAACACACTCGGCCACTCTCGGGATTCCATTTATGGTGTAATCAAAGATCTTGAATCATGCATGAAATTGGAGTGAAATTTGTGCAGTGGTACTTTTTTTTTATACTAATTATTTACTACACGATGTTGATAGTTCAGAATGATAATATGTTGGGAATCTATTTAGATCAAAGAATAATAAACAAAAAAATTTAAAAAGTGCTTGGTTTTTTTTTTTTTTTGTTACTTCTAATAAAGAAAGCTTTTGGTCACTCGACTTTCTTAATTGAATCACCATTTTTAATTCATTTTCCGTTTTTTATTTTCATATCGTAGCCATTTTCTTACTAGCTCATAAGTGACTTTTGAGATTGAATTCTATAAAGTCTGAAAGAAAATCGCATTTTTATCGGATGAAAAGGTTTGATGGAAAAAATACGTAATATATAAAACCTCTTCCAATTTAATGATATTTCGAAATGTTTCCAGTTGTCTCCGTACTTTAATATGGATTCACTAATGTACTATTTGTCTCTTACTGTCAAGTGAAAGACCCACTATAAAATCCTTCAAAGGCCTCTTAAGTTGTGGTTCATTGAATGTGTATTAACGTAAACGGATAATATGATTTGTATTCTACATATTACTTATATGCCCACTTATATTAACTACGATTTCTATATTTCAGATATTACATTCCGTTGCACTTACTTATTTCTTTAGCTATCTCAGCTGTACCGCATTTTTTGTGGAACGAGTCCCTATGGTATAGCTTGATGGTGAGTTATGTCTTCAGAATAGTAGTGCAGCTACATTTTACGTGGACTGTTAACAGCTTCGCACACATGTACGGAAACAAGCCTTACGAAAAGTAAGTATTTAATCAAGAAAATAATAAGACTTATTTGGACTTGCAACGCCACTAATCTATGGAATTCCTCTCGTCTTCAATCCTTACAATCCAAAATCCTTCGTGAAATATTTAATGCTCCTTACTTTGTCAATAATAAAATCTCTCATAACGAACTTAATTTTTCCAATTTAGCCCAATCCTGTTACCTACCCTTCCATAATAAATTTCAGGACCATCCGAACCCTCACGTTTCTAACCTTACTTTCACTACGATTCCCGATAACCCTCCGAGGCATCTGAAAAGATTATGGCTTCTTGATCTCCTAAACTAAATATATAATTAGAGTACTACCAGTGGGTAGTTTCTCAACAAGTTTTATCAGGTCATCATATAATTCGTTTACATTTACTTGATGTATTTTTATTTTTAATACAGTTGTAAATATCCTGAATAAAATATAAATGTGCGCTTAAGACCACATGCTGGAAGTGAAAACATCAAGAAGGGGGAATCAAAAATCACAACATAATATGGAACAACGATTTACGCGGTTTTAGTTAAATATATTTAGCAGATTTGAATCAAAAATATTCATAGCACATTTTAGTTATCATAAACCTATTGTTTCATTTTGAAAGTATGAAATAAATGACGATCAGTCAGAGCTAAGTTTACCAGAATAATTATCCACAGTTGTAATTGTACATTTTGTAAATGTTTAAATGTAAATGAATAATTGGTAAATGGTTGACTGTCGTGGATAATGAAGAGAAGAATAGTTTGGGTGGTCAGTCAAAAAAGAAGTATAATAAAAATAGGGAGAATCTATTCTCCCTGCAACACTTATGGAGACAGCCCTGATGAAGGCCTGAACTTCAGGTCGAAAAGTCGGCATATGTAAAAATAAATATTATTATTTATTTTTGCCTTCTTTTTTGACTGACCATCCCAATTATTCTTCTCTTCTTTAAATGTAAATATTGTAAACAGGCCAAAAAACAATTTATATTTCATATTATCAATCTTACATTGTTGATGTTTTCACTTCTAAAGAAGGTAAAATTTAATATCAATTTTACAAATAGTTTTTTGATGTAGAGCTACCGGATGAGGAGTTAGAGATGAGAATCTTAACTGTTTGCTTATTTCACAAGAAATATATATTTTCGTCGGTTTTCGCCCAAAACTCATAATCTATGCTTCTCTCAAAGAAATCCTTTATCAATTTGAAAGAGCATTAAAATTCCTATGTACCTCATGTAGACACGTTGATATGTCAGAAGATTAATTGGCTGTTAAAGAGCATGGAATCTACTGCGCGTTTCTCTTGTATTATGTGCTGCTTTCAACAACGGTTTTTTATCTTTTCAATGCTCTTGATTCGGCTAATTTAACTATATTTATGACAAACCGGTAAAATATAGTAAGTAAGGCGGCAGACCGAAGTTGTGTGTTCAGATGAGTTTAACCTAGAATTCAAAATTTTATTAAAGTCCTTCTGTTAAATTAAATGGACAGTGGCTTCTAGTATAATAATTTTAACTCAGCTTCACGTCAAAATATGAATTATAGGTCATTACAAAGAGGATGAAATGTTAAAAATTTCCTTACCTTACAGTATGCAGGCCCGATTTTTGGTTTCTGATATATTTTATTTCAAATGCCAAAACATTTCATTCGACTTGAGCCGACTTTACCCGAATGAGCATTACATATTCCGGCGTCTCATTCACTGCCCACAAAAAAGGTACAATGCACGCCTAAAGAAATTTTCAGTTAAAAAATGAAATAATACAATTCAATAATTTATTTTCTTCGATAAATTATATTTAATTTACTATTGTACTATTGTATTCAATGCAATATTGAACCTTGATCTGTTGAATACTTGAGTGCAGTATTTATGTAAATATATCACGTCACTGAGTTATAGAAAATATTCACTATGAAATTACTTAATTTCAATAATCAGAAATAGTTCAGTAACGTAGTTTCAGGCACATTCAGTCAATTCGTTAGAGGGCGGAGTGATCTATCGAAAACTGAGGAGGAAATCCTGACAGAAACCAAACTGGAAGAAAATTGATGAATAAATTGAATTAGAGGACAAATGATTTTAAGAAGCTTTATATAGTAATGTGGAAATCATAAGTAAATGCCAGACAAATTTGAGCACGCGGGTTCAAATACCCAATGATCTGTAAACTATGTAAAATTAACAGTAAACGAAAAAAAAAGTGGGAAAAGAGCAGAGGTGGAAATTTCTGGGATTATTTAGCCTGAGTCCGCCTGACTCGTATAAACTGAGGTGTAATTATGAATGTCTTAATTATGAATTATTGTGTAATATATCTTTTTAGAATGGAATGATTCAGCACCTGTAGTGTACTGCTAATGAAAGTTATAGCAATCAGCATCCAAACAGGAAAAAATAGTTTAAGTACAGTAAGACATAAGATCCATCTATTCCATATTACAAAGCGGTTTTTATACAAATAAATACCGTGTCATATTTAATATCATATTAAAAATATCGTTACCTAGGTAATTTATCCGAAACTAGCACTTAATTTTGAACATATAAAAACGAACTTGAGGCATTGTTCATGAAAAGACTAATTTATATAAACATTGTTATACTGATATTTTTATAAAACCATTATTTCACAGTTATCTATATATTGCTGATATTTATACAATATTCTTAAATATAATACCTGATATTATTTCTTCTTAGGTTACATCACTCTGTAAACTAATTATTATACATTTAATAGGCGCAATGAGAGATAAATTTATCTTGTAACTCGATATGTGCGTTTTAGGTATTTAGATTGATATCCTGATGATCTGAACTCCAGATCCAGAGAGACTATCAAATGGAAGAAGAAGAAAAATAAATTTTATTATGATACAAGTAAAACGACAAAAAATAATTAATTTACAGAGTGATGTAACATAAGAATAAATAATATAAGGTATTATATTTAAGAATATTAAATAAATATCAGCAATATTTATTTACAGCAATATAACAATATAGCTTTAAAATAATAGTAAAATGAGACTGACAACACTTAATTACAAACATTTAATTCTTACCTATATTTGGAAGATTGGTTGTTGAGGGGATGGATGAATAATTGGTACTTGAAATAAGTTAAAGAAGATATGGATGGACAAGGGTGCCCAGAAGGGGGTTTCATGGCACAAGTTGCGCGATTACAATTTTTGACGGGGGTATATTTTGACGGGTTTTTGAATTTTCGATGGGGGCAAATTTCAACTGGGTTATGAATTTTCGGACTAAGGGACAAGGAGAAAGGCATGGAACATACCGCAGAAAGTATAATTGTATATGATCTAATACTTTTCTAATTTCTTAGCTTGCTCTGTTTTTAAGGAAAAGTGAGCAATAAAATATCTTGGGAGGAGGGAAGGGGGGTAAGTTATTGCGCCATCGACCTTAGGGAGATGAGCACCCCTGCGTATGGAGGTGGTTAAGGAATTCCAAAAATAAGATAGCACACGCATTATATAGGATTTTTAAAGGAACCAGGAATATACAGGTTTGTGGTCTTGTGTTTAGAGAATAGCCATAGGTTTTGGTAGTATATAAGTTTTGGATGTAAAGGAAAAGAAATACACCTCGGAAGTATTGCCGTCGGAAAACTAAATAGAATCACTTTCACCCGACATACAAACTGCATACGTTTGAGCATCTGGGGACTCCAAATAAGAATATAATGATAAATACTATATATTTATGGGTTTGTGTATTATAAACTATAAAAAGTATATACACTTTATTTTGCTTAATTTAGTAATAAGGACTATTTAATAATTTCCAAAGCATAATGTTAATAAAATATGGTTGGTTGGCAGGGAAATCATCCCAGCTCAGAACCCTTACGTGGCTATACTGGCACTCGGTGAAGGATGGCACAATTTTCACCACGCCTTTCCATGGGACTGCAATACCTCTGAATTCGGACAATACTTCAATCTTTCTTCAAAATGCCTCAGAATATTTGAGTATCTAGGCCTAGCTTACGATCTAAAAATAGCGACGAAAGAAATAATAATGAATAGGGTGTTGAAGCATGGAGACGGTTCACACCATTTAATTGGAAATTGAGATGAAATTATCAAATAAATAGTCAAAATATGACTTGTTTTTTCCTAACTAAACGCTTAACATTTTTTTTTTCTTATTTTAAAAGTGTGATATCGTAAATAGCAATAGAGAAGTATCGAATATTAAATTTGACAATGACACGTATATCCTATCAGTTAACAAGGATCCATCAATTGGCATCCCAAACTCTCCAATCACACATCACAAGTCTTGAAGAATGTTGTCAAAACTGGAGGATTAAATAAATCCGATCAAATTACTTTTACCCTACGTCGTAAACCAATGACTTTCTGCCCTACTGTATCCTTTAAGAATGCCCCACAATCCCTGTTAAACAAATCCGATACCTAGGACTCCATCTGGAAAAACAACTCAAACAATCCCTACAATCCAAAATCCTTCGTAAAATTCTCAATGCTCCCTACTTTGTCACAAATAAAATCATTCATAACGACCTTAATGCACTATATGTTTCCTGTTCCAACCGCTCAATCCAGATACCTGTCCTTCCGTAATAAACTTCTGAACCATCCGAGTCCTCTTGCTTCCACTTCTATTCCTGATAATCCTCTGAGGCGTCTGAAAAGAAAAAGGCCTCGGGACCTTTTAACATAGAACTTTAATTGGAATTCTACCAATGAGTAGTTTCTCATCATGTTGTACATGTCATATTACCAATGTCACATTTACTTGTTGTATTTTGATGTAAAATAGTTATAAATTTCATTAAAATAAAAATAAAAACGAATTTTACTCTCTCATTTCCGATACTGAAAGTGTGTATACATTTATTTCTATATTATTATATGACATAAGTTTAACTATAAAATAAAAAGTTATTGCAAACTTGAACTTAATTTACATTTGTTACGGACTATGTATGACCCTCTTAGCCATTAATATATAATAACAGTAGAAAATATTCATTGATTTTTTAAAAAAGGTTCAATTCATAGAGGAGGTAAATATAGATACAGAATAAATTGTTTTCTTAGAAATAATCATCTGCATATAGAAGTTGACGTAACTCTTTTTTTTTTTAGTTAAGGACAAATTAAAAAAATAAATTTTTAAAATCAAATCAACAAATATATAAAATAAGTAGTAGTAGTATAAAAAAGTTTAACGACAAATATAAAATAATATATGAGCTTCACAAATAAAAGGATATATTTAAATAAGTAATAATAACAAAATTAGAATATAACAAAATGTAATTACAGTTGAATACATTTTTTTAAATACATAAATGAATAAAAGATTATCAAATGATGATTATGCCTATATATAATATTTACATTCACCAAGAGCCTCCGAGTTAGTCGTCCATATCTGAAAGGAGAAGCAAGATAACAGGAGATCCCAGAGCTTCTCTTCCAGTCTTGTCACTGAAATTGGAAGACAGTGGAAATTGAGAGAGGGCACTATTGCTACGGACATGGACATAACTCTAGCATTGTAAATTATATTCCAGTAACCCTTTTATTTCGTTGTACAATAAATATGATATTATTTTATTTTAACCATTAATTATCTTCAAAGTACAGTTAAAAAATCTGACACAATTCACTAGGGAAAATTTACTTCAAATTAAAGTGGAGTTTATCCTTTTTAAAACCATTTAAAGAGGACTTTTGAGTGGATCAACTAGGCTAAGTTTTTTTGTTTTTTTTAAATCATAAATTGTTTCTGATTTTTTTTTTTTTTATCACCTTCTAACTATATTAAAGACACCCTACCTTTAGAAAATCTTTCTTGTATAATATACTTTAAGTCTATAATAATTAGGTTGAGGTTTATTACAAAATAAGTTAAGATCAATAACTAAATAACTCCTCAGGTTATTTAGAAAAATTAGGTGATTTGATATTAATTAAAATAAAAATTCTTCCTCCTTCAGTCATCAACGATCATCCCATCACATTCAGCTCAAAACCTAGCCATTAAAAACCTAGGAATCACAATTTAAGAAAACCTCTCCTGAAAAGCTCTTATCCCCCTCATCTCCAGAAAGTCAATAGGTACCCTAAAGTTATTTTGTCGCTCCCGCAACCTACTTCTACAACCTATCCGCAAGCTCCTTGTATCCTCTCTTATTTTCCCCTACTTTGATTACGGCTGTGTGGTGTACGGAGGCATACCGATGGTACTCGAGAATAGATTGAAACGATTCATGAATTCTTGCTTAAGGTTTGTCTAACCTTGAAGAATGGTGTCAAAACTGGAGAATTACAATAAATTCTAATAAATCCCAACAAATCACCTTTACCCTTCGTCGTAAACCTATGACTTTCTGTCCTACAGTATCCTTTAATAACACCCCACTTATCCCTGTTGAACAAATACGAAATCTTGGACTCCACCTGGATATCTTGGAATCCTCATAGCAGACTGAAACGACTAGAAACCGCCCGATGTTTTCGACTGCTGCAGCACTTACTAGACAAACACTCTAAGCTTTCAATCAATTACAAAAGACTAATATACATGACCATACTAAGACCTATTTGGACTTACGGAGTTGAGCTATGGGGCTCCACTAAACCATCAAATTCCTCTCGTATCCAATCCTTACAACCCAAAATCCTTCGTAAAATCCTCAATACTCCTTACTTTGTCACAAATAAAATCATCCTCAATGACCTTAATGTACCATATCTTTCCGATTTAGCCCAATCCAGATACCTATCCTTCCATTATAAACTTCTGAACCATCCGACACCTCTTGTTTCCAATCTTGCTTCATCTTCGATTCCTGATAACCCTGAGGCGTCTGAAAAGAAGATGGCCTCGTGATCTAACTCGTGAAGTGCTACCAATGGGTAGTTTCTCAACAAGCGTGTTTCATGTGATAATATTCCTCTGTACACATTTACTTGCTATATTCATACTAATACAGTTGTAAATATCATAATAAAAGTAAAATATATATATATATATATATTTGAAGTTCTTTATAGGTAAAGATATTTTTCAAATTCAAATGAAAATTAATCATCCATTTTCGAAATTTACCGGTTGAAGCGTAACATGTTCGGGACAACAAGGAAAGTAGCGTTGTTACAAACAAATGACGCAAGATATTCTCCGGTTGTGTGACTATTAGATAGGCCGTGTGAAAAGTCAATGCCATATTTTGAATTGTTCCAACTGCATAAAAAACATGATCTCATTAATTATCCAAGGTTCAAATTACGTCATATATCCTCTATTAACTCGGTTTATGATCTAGCAGAAATTCCTTTTTTTCTCTGGAGCATAATCTATTTTTGATATTCATTAGAATTAGTTCTTTAAATTAAATTATGCCAGAAATGTCCTATAATGTTCTCCATCTTAAATTTAAAGTATTCAGTCGAAATAATAGAGAATATTTTAATCAACTACTTTTTAATAGTAAATCTTTGGAAATTAACATTGCAGATTGAGTATCTACCTCACCTATCTTTACCATATTCCCGAATAAATGCTCATTTACTAAAATACTTTTTTTTTTATTAGATAATTTTAGACTGCCTTTATGTTCTTATTAGTTCAGGATTATTTACCATTGGCAGTCTCTATTTTATTTTAATTATTTATTAAAATACTTCATAAATCAAACTACCGATAAAAGCTGAATACATTTGTATAGCAATAAACGAAAAAAAATGTGCTAACAGGAAGCGGTCAACATCCCACAACTCTATTAAAAAATAATAGCCATCCATAAAAATTCAAATAATAATAAATTAAATAAGGTAGGGTAACTTTAGTTACCAAATAGTTGCAATAATATGGAGGGTGCTGACAGTAAATAATCAGCACTCAGTAGGATGATGTTGTAAGATGAGAGCACTGTTCTTATCCTTAAATTTTTAAATAGACAAAACTAATAAAAGGTATGGATGGCATGATATGATAATAATTGCATGACATTTCAAAAGTTATGTAATACATATAATGTGAATTTTATTAATTAACAGTAATTTTATCCTAATTGGGGTATTATAATTATAGAGATGAATATGGTGCAGGGACACCGAAAGCTTCTGTACAAATAAAGTTTTAAAATAAAACTTTTTTTTTCTTATTCAACTAGTGCTTCGTCTCTTAATAAAATTTTATATTATTTCCATAATTGTTTGTGCAGTGCATGTCAATTAGTTAAAGTGATATTTCCAATACAACTTTATTTATTTATTTGTTGTATCTACCTCTATAAGTCATTGGAAACATTATATCGAATGATATTCAAATATGAAATGCTTCAAATGCTCCATCAGATTTTTTTATCATTAATTATTTCTTCAAGGTGAGTTTCATGTGTATATTTTAATTTTTTTTTTTTTATTTTCATGTGTATATTATTGTGTTATTCTACGAATTATTGAAAATTTGGGACGCTATGTCAGGATCTGTTTGATACTTCTGGTCATGCGGTTACATTCACTAGTTGAAGCTTCAAGATCACTCAGGAGACGATAATTAATCAATTAATTGTGATATAAGTAGCTCTGAACTAAGCTTATAGACTAGTATCAACAGTCATGATGTGGATATATTTAAGTTTGTAGCTGCTTCAATAGGATATAAGATAAGAGTTTCGTTTAAGTGTAATATTAATTTTCTTCTGGGTTGATGGATGACTGTCGTGAATAATGGTTAGGGTGATCAGTCAGAAATAAAAATTCAAAATAAATAATAATATTAACTGTAACATTTGCCGACGTTTCGTCCTGAATTTCAAGCCTTCATCATGGCTTCTCCTAGAGATAGCTGGAGTAGAGTGATGATATTAATTTTCTTATTCTTTAATTTCATTAGGTTTATTAAATACGTAAGAGGAGTTAATAGTTTTGTATTTTATTTCATTTTATTCTTTCAGTATGTAGGATAAATTTTAGTTTTTGCTTCCTCACTACCGAAGGTAGCGAAACATTGTATTCTTGCTAGAGGTAAAACAAATTTTTTGCTAAGAATCGAAAATTTCCACACGCGTTCTACGTTTTACGCATCAAGGACCAAATTCGGTCTATTGTCAAATTGTAGTAACGGACATGTCACTACCGTTTATCCCATTTCCTTGATTTTTTTGGGAAATGTGGGATTTGGTGCCTATATGGTCCTAAAATTGATATTTTATTATTACCAATTTTATCAAATTTCACCCAGAACTTCCGCTTACGCACGCGTAAACTTACTGCCATTACTTAGATTACGTGTAATTTTCAGTAAATTTAAATTAATTTTTACTCAGAGTTTGTAAAATAGAAAAAAAGTTTTAATATTCCAGCCTAATTAGTTTTGTTCTGACTGAAGAAAATTATTGGTCTCGTTTACTCCGAACAAACAAAAAGTTAGATTTTTCCTAAGGATTTTCTTTTCCATCCATTTTACGAATGAAAACATACCTATTAAGTATATATCACTACTGTTAGTGCCAAAGGTCGTATTTAAAATTTTTCAAATTGTATTCTATTTGTTCTAAAGGTGACATTTTGTAGTCTGCAACTGATATAAACAGTCTGCTACGATGGGAAATAACAGAGGGCAATAAAATATGAAATTATACCAATAAATCTTAAAGAAACAATTAGTTTTTATGCTCTCCCATAAAAAATTCAATTTGTTTAAACGACCTTTTGCACTAACAGTAGTTATACGCATGTTCAGTATGCACTGGATATTATTTTTTTTATAATAAAGTATCATCAAATATTCAATCTGTAAATGCAGAACTCTTTTATATTGTATTCGCTGATAAACAAAACTCCTGTATATCAAACCCAATTTTATTTAGATTTTATTCTCATAAAAAAATTGTAGACCTCTTAATATAGATGTTTTTTAGCCAATGAAAACGGTGAGGAAGCTAGACTGACCTTACTTGGCAGATGTTTTTTAAATGTCAGTTATTAGTGATGGAAATGGGGAAGTTCCTCCAGATATTGGAATAAATGACAATCAATCGATTAATGTAAGTGATCATAACACAGTTAAAATGTTTACAGAATTATATAAAAATCCTGAATTTAATGCGGATAAAATAATTCCTCAAATAAATACCAACTTAGAAAACTATAACATTAAAACAGAAATATACTATGAATTAACTGATTTAGGACCATACTTTGTATTTATTTAAAAAGTTATTCCAGAGAAAGAGCAGATAGATTGGAAACCTACATCGTACGAGGAAATATATAATAATATTTTAAGCATAAATAAAATAGGTAGAAATAGAGTCAAAGTGGAAACTCGCCGAAAAGAACAATCTAACGCGATAGTCATGTCCGAAAATTTGAAAATGAAACAAATTAATGTTTACATATCAAATTCTACATTAGAAAAAAATGGAGTTATTAAGGATGTCGACCTAGAGTTAATTGAAGCAGAAATCCACGAAGATTTTAAAACATTATACTCAGACCCTCTTTAACTTGCTCTGTTTTTAAGAAAGGTGAACGATAAAATATCTCGGAAGAAGGGAGGCGGGGTAGGTTCTTACGCCATCGACCTTGTGGGGGGGCACCCATGGACATATTTAATGAAAATTATTGGTCAAGTACAATGAATAATATAATTAATAAAGGAAAAAGGAATAGTCACGACATTTCTTTTATTCTACACTGCTAAATGCAGACATATGAAATAAAATAATTCAAATTATCGAACCCGCTTAAACAACGCATTAAAATATCTAATATTATTATATACTAATATTAATAAATTACTAATATACTAATATTATTCAATTTTAAAAAATAAGTATTGTTTTAGAATCAAACTCGTTATGTTTCATTCAAGACTGGTTTTATAAAATATTGATTCAGTAATTAACTATACAGCATTGAATACGATATTAATGATTAAGTTTCTATTATTTTTTTTTTTCGTGATCAATAGAAGTTAAATAACTGTGCGTTTCTCATCAAGATGCAAATCGATGCATCGTTTATAAAAGAGGGTAAAGAAGAATTGTAATCACTGCCATTATTTCATTTCAGTATAGCTGTGGTAGGCCGAACATATAGCAAGAAATAGTGTGAGTTTTTTTTTCTTTTTTATATCGATAGATTGATAGATAGAAAATAAACTTTATTCCGGGACAATGTCCCTTAAGAATAACAATTATTAACAAGAAACAGAAACTATACCTGGACAAAACCTACATTAATAAAAATTGAACAATATATGCATTATAATGTATATGTATAAGTAGGTTATATTAGCACATACAGCCAGGTTCAACGCCAAAGTTTTTGGTATCAGGACTTTTTCCTTTGATATTTTTTTTCTTGTAGAACTGAAGTAAGGCTAAATAATTAGGGCTTTACTAAAGAAAAAGGGCTCGAAATAAACACAAATAAGAAAAAATATATGGTTAGCTACAAAAATGTCAATAATTCCGGTGATATCGAAGGTAATATGTTAGAACACGTAGAAAAGATATTAAGGTTAGGGTGAAGGCAGGAAATGCTTGTTATTTTTCTGTGAAAAAATTACTTAACTCGCGCCTTCTGTCCCGGAACTTAAAAATTAGAATCCATAAATCATTATCCTACCTACTGTTCAGTATGGACGCGAAACGTGGCCGCTTACATCAAGTGATGAGAAACGTCTTAAGGTTTTTGAAAATAAAGTATTACATAGAATATTCGGACCGAAGAAAGATGAGTTAACCTAAGAGTTCAGAGGGTTTCACAACGCCGAATTGCGTTAATTGTATCCGGTTAATATAATTAAGGGGATCACTGGGAATTAAATAGGCTTGTAAAATTATTGGACTTAGTGACGAATGAATTCCCAAAAGGTTATTATTTGATGTGCGAATTGGTAAACGTCCGAGGGGTAGACCGAAGCGAAAGTGGGAACATTACGTTAAGGCTGATTTCATACTGGGTTTGGAAATGGCGACCGATGATGGATGGTGTGTAGACCGTGGTGATTGGTGGTTTCGGCATCGAGCCTTCTGGTTCGCTAAGCCTTTTATTATTATTATTATTAGATTTGAACATAATAAAGTTTCATTTATGTTTGCGACAAACTTTTAAAAATAACAAAACATTTTTTAAATCTTTGCTACAAAAAATATTTTTAATAAAGTCAAAATATTATGTTTATCCAATAAGATATTCAAATATTTTCAGTAAAAAATTTAAAATTCGATTTATATAATGGGGATATTTATCTTCCTTAAAGGTTGTTGAATTATTGAAAATAATATATCTTTTCAAGTGAAAAAAGCCTGAATTTCATTTTTAACCATATCTATCAGTTATTGTTAGTTAAATATTAATTTTATTTATTTATTTCTTAACCCACACCTTTCAAAAATATTGAAAACCCTCGAGTGGAGTCAGAAGGAATTCGTGATTTTTGCCAATGAATTAATTTTTTTTTTTTTTTTTTTAGAAATCACGGTTAAATTTAAATTGTCGAAATCTGTTTCCCTCACTTGTTTCATAAGAGAAGTTAGCAACTTTGTCAGCGAATAAGTTTTCTGTTTTCGCTGTTGTTGTTTTTTTGTATTATTTATTTATTCAGAAATAAAATAATCTGTCAATAGGACAATAATTATGAACACATTCGTACCATATGTACAGAAAACATATTAACAAAAGTAAAATAATAATCAAAAACTGTGTACAATGAAAAATAGAATAACTTAAAGATAAGCAAATAAAAAACATAAGAACACAGTCATATATATATATATATACAATCAAGCTAGGTTTGTCTCTCGAGCTATAGAGGGAGATCCAAGAGATCCCTGCGCTACTCTCTCAACCGCGTCACACGTGTTAAAGCGAGTGGAGATTGGGCGAGCTCGCTTTTATTAACTTTTCTTTTCCTGCTAATTTTTATAAGGAACAAATTTTTAAAAAATACTCGTGATTCCTATTCCTGTAGGTTTAATCTCTTGCCCTCCTAGTTTGTGAAAAAATCCGCCTAATCTTTGCTGAGCTTTACATTTTTATGGTTATCAAACTGCAGGAGGGAACCTCATTACAAACTGCAGTAACCTGATTACATCTACCTTCTGTTTTAATGTTTTTCATTTAATATTTATGGCTATTGTTCGTGTATCGCCATTTGCAATTCTATTTTCCTTATGCGATTATTTTTCCAAGAAGATGCTTTCCAATTGTTCGCAGTAAAAATCCGAATCAATAGAGCATCCATCAGGAACAAAGTCGTGATGAATAGCACCTTCAAAACTAAAAAAAAAAAAAACGCAAAGCTTTGATTTTTATTTTCAAATTGCCCCTTTGCAGCAACGGGAAACGAAGTTTGACCGCGACCTCAGGTCACAATATTCCTACTAAATCTCATATCAGAAGGGTTTCACAAATTTCTAACCTCTTCGATGATTACTGAGGAGTAAGTTCGCGAGGGCCAGTCGACTGCTCTGTTTCACTTTCCCTAACATTGTCTTTCGACACACCACAATCCCTGGCAAGTTTGCAAGTACTTGTGGACGGATTTGACTTGACAGAATCCTGCAGAACTATCCATTAATGGACGTCCAGAGCCCTTTTTCCTTTCCAACGCCGCATCTCACTGCTAAATTTTTTAAAACCAACGCCACGCAGTGCGTCGTTTTTTTTATAAACCACATTATAAACTTTTGCTGCGGCCTCCATTATCACTGCCTATCCTTACTGCGGCCCCTAATCATAAAAAGGTTCTCTTGTGATTGACGCCTCTATCAATTGCTTTTTTATAATCAATTATCTTTTTTTTTTGTTTTATCCATTGCTAAATTTTTTTAATCAATTGCTCTGATTTTCAAGTATTGCTCCATATGTTTTTACCTATTTTTCTTGTTATTACCATGGAAGATTAACGATTTTATGATGAAACTTGTGATAAATCGTTAGAAAAAATAGTTATCAAAATATAAATAAAGTTAATCATGTTGTGAACTTTATCATTCATTTATTTTTATTCTTCGTATATGGTCAATGTTTCCATGCCCTACCTCATCCATTTTTAAAGCCTGCTAGTTGATTGATATTTTCATATCATATCAGCTCCTTGCATCTCATGATTTACCCAACTCTCACAGTTTCTTTTCATACTGCAATTAGGCATTGCGTTCCGATTACAAATCTTCCGTCCACCGTTCAACTATATTACCCGACCTTTGTTAAACAGTTGAAGAATATTCTGCAATATACGATACAAGTAAAGAGTACTCAAATAGTGATGAACAAGGAAATCGTCGAAGGCTCTGGCACAAAAATTCGAATCAACAAGGAAGAGAACTATGTACTTATAATTTATTTGAGTCCGCGAAAAAAAAAATATAAATATTTCAATATCAATTACTATTAAAAAATACTTTTAAAATTATGATTTCGACGTCTGAAGAGTCGGATGATTGGTTATCATCTTTCAAATTCAAGTACTAAACTAGCAGATATAATGGATATAAACAGAAGATGCAAGAGGCTAGTGCATCCTTGGTGTGAAAGCTCTTTCATCAAGATGCAAGAGGCACATGCATCCTGCATCCAGGACGCATGCATCTTCGGTGTGAAAGGAACCTTAGGGGGATAGGCATCCCTACATATGAATAAACTTGAAAGTTAAGATTTAATAATAGAAGAATAATTGCTAATATTTTGACCAATTTATGTACAATGTATATTAGTAATTCAATAATAAGACATTCAACAATTATTTGGTTCCTCTTCCAATGTTGACTGGTTTAAAAGGTTCATCTGTTTTAGGGAATGTGGAGTATTTCGCAGCTAAAGATCTGCACCTTGCAGGATTTAGACGACACAGACAATGCGGAAAACATAGACTTTTCTTTCTTGTCGGCCCTCAGCATCGATTACAGCCAGGTGAAGTGGAAGAACGCCGCGGTCCTGGTCGCCCTACATGTCGGAGCGGTGATCGGCTGGGCTCTCTTCCTCCTCGGCTACGTGCACTGGCCAACTTTTCTTTGGAGTAAGCAGACTAAAATAATACAATAATAATAATAATAGCTAGGGGTGCACCCCCTGTACACCTAACGGCGGACCAGCCCCCATTTTACAAATGATGCAACTGTACATTTAATTCAATATGTGTTGATCTTCTGTAACCTCCCATTTACCAAATGAAAAATAAATTTTAGACCAAAATTTTTACGGAAAAATCGTAAAAGTCCAAAACTGAAATCATCTAGAAGAAATGATATCGTATAAATACGTAAATAGAATAGACTGAAGTTCAGGTTTATTGAGGAGCGATTAGATGGATGACCCATTAAATACTTAAGTTATTTGTTTTTAATATTATAAAAACCTGTACCACTACAACCTATGAAGGGTCTGGGGTTCAGTACTATTTAGGGTAAGCACTGTTTCTAGGTCAACGGTTGTGCAAGGAGGTGATTTGACCGAGATCTCGCTCAACCGCCAGGTTTTCCCCCTTAATTAATTATTTAATTAAGGGTACCCACTTTATAGAGGCAGGGTGTGCCCCAGGAGGGTCTCCCGACCCAGGGCGCCCCACGGCCAATGAAACAGATAAATAAATTTTCTGCCATGAGCCAGGGTTCGAACCTGGGACCTTTGCATTGGAAGCTACCACTGAGCTACCCCACTCCCCTTTTTACTATTATATACTATCAATAACTAAAATTTATTATTTTTAGATTTTCTGCTCAGTTTCGTCTCCGTCATTGGTATCACCGTGGGTGCACTCAGCCTTTGGAATCACAAAATCTACGACTCGAAAAAACCTTTGAAGTTGTTTCTACTGATTGCCCAAACTATAGCATCTCAAGTAAGATATAAATTATTTTATTTCTTTGTATCAATTACATATTGCCATTACAATAGGTTTTTATAGGAGGCACAAATGTTTGACTCAAGCTGGAGTTAGTGTTAAATCAATATGGGTTCAGAAGTTAACATTATTTTAATTGTGGAGCACAGCATGTAACTATGGGGAGGGGGGCTCTCGGGGTGAAGCCTCCTCCCCTCCCTTCACCAAAATGGTAAAATATAACCATGTTTTACAGAAAAAAAATACTAAAAACTATCTCTTAAAGTATTCTTTTTCGTGTGATTATATTTAATAGGACTTCAAGAATCACTTAAACACCATTTCGTATAGGTACTTAATTTCTTTTCTTTTTTTTAAAATTAACTATCGTTATATGTATTTGAAAAAAAAATCTTTCGGGCTGAGGCCCTCCCCCAAAATTAATTCCTGGATCCGCTAGTGTTGTGGATGAGGAGAGATTTAACATCACATATAGCTTATTTTATGACGAACATTATTTGGTCATCTGTTAAATTACAGAAATCTAGTGTTTCTTTAAGCCTTTCTCAGACTATTCCTCTATAATTTTCGATCCAATATATCTCAGTCAAAAAGTTAAAATTATAAATAATTCATCGTTTAATTTACTAAACTAAATCAGTTTAAAAACCCCAGAATTTCTTATCCCACATTCTCCTTGCCTAAATTGTCTTTCTTTTTCTCGTTAAAGGACTGTATGTGGATGTGGATTCGAGATCACAGACTGCACTGCGAAAATCACAAGACAGATGCTGATCCTTTCAATTCCAAACGAGGATTCTTCTTCTCCCACATGGGCTGGTTGATGATGAAGAAGCATCCAGATGTCATCACCAAAGGAAAACAATCCGACATGTCCGATCTTGAAGCCGATTCTCTGGTAATGTTCCAGAAAAGGTATAGGGTATTTAACATTTATACTTTTATTATAACCGTAACAGTTTGTTTTAATATTCTTGACAGTAAGGCTGTTAAGAATTATGATTAATCCATGTTATTGGTAGTGTTATATTTAAGACTGAGATGTTAAATTTTGTATAGGCACTACAAGGCTATGTACACGTTGCTAGCGGTATTACAGCTGACGATTCCCTGCTATTTGTGGAATGAAATGGCAGAAATATCATTCATTGCTTTTATTACGAGAATTGTGACAGTGTTACACATTAGTTGGTGCATTCACAGCATACACGACTTTCAAGGAATGAAGACAACCACGTAAGTGGTTTCTTGAAAATGATAATAACAATGCGTTTACTAATAGCTAAATTTTTAATTAAGAAGATCTAGGAAAATATTATTTAGGATTTGAGGAAGAATAGAAATTTGAGATAAAAATTGCTACGTTCCTGGTCTCGCGTTTCTACGGCGAGTAGGGGGTTCCAGGAACCGCATTTATTTGTATTTAATAGTTATATTTCTATTTATATCGGTTCCAGAAGACAACCGATCCACAGAAAAATATATTAATTGTGTATTTAAATGTAAGATACCACAGACCCCCTACTGTTGTATCCTAGATTGAACCATATAATTTTTATTGGATTTCTTTTCTAGAGGTATCGTGTTTTTAAATTTAACATTTGTTTCCATTACTAATTGGTGGCATGAAGGGTAGATGCTAAAAGAACTAAGATGGTTTACTAACTAATATATTTACAAATTCAAATACCCAAAAACATATATACAATGATATTAGGAGAATCATACCAGAGGAGAATGCTATTTACAAATTATTTTTGATTATTGGTTGCCAACACGAGTTTACATCATTATTACTAAATGAGGGTTATTACCTAGCTGGTTCATCTTCATCTTCGAGTCTCCTTCCATGTCGCTCTCCTCAGCGTCTAGTCCGTCGATCTGCTCCCTCCGGCTGTGTCCTAGCCTGAGTCCCAGTTACAAGTCCATCTCTTGCTCTGTCCGCCTCTCCTGATCAAGTCCTAATCTTGCTCTCTCCGCCTCTCCTGATCAAATCCTTTCCTCAAAACTCTAACCGTCCTAGCTTCCAGTCACCCCCCTCTCTTTTTGTACTTTTTCCTGATTGGCTGAATACTCCTAGACTAAGGGATGACCACGCCCTCTCCCCCAGGCCAAGGTATTCCCCTACCCAGGTATATTTTACTTATTTCTGGAAGGTGTTAATGGTAATTTGGATCCTGTTTAAACACTCAGGCGTGAGACTGTTGTCGGTGTTTTGGGTTTTTATTTCCACTTATAAAAGGTTGCCCTCGTGGGTCGTTACCCTCGCTCAGGTTCCCAACCGCCAGGTGTGAACAATTATGATATTTATTTATTTGACATTTAAAATAATTAAGTAAACTTCACAGGTGGTCTTTAGAATACATAGCAAAATATGTTCATAATTTACTTTGTTCCTAATTTTTAAGCCTTTTTAAGGAGAAAGGACAATGCGATATCGGGCATGTCGGAGAATATACTAGAGTGCAATGTTCTCCGTTTTCATTTTGCTATTGTTGGAAAAAAAAAAATCATTATTTTTTAGTTGATTCCTACCTCAAAAAGATTTCAAATAATTTTTAGAATTTTAATTTATTTTAGAATAAATTTAAATCGGAGCGATATTAGTGTTGTAAAATATCTGTCCACAGGGAGGAAAAGAGTGATGCTGAGATGAAATACGTTAGCGATCAACGCTGTTGGTTCGATCCAACGTCACTTTTTTTAAGCATTGGTGATAGGATAGGCCTCACATTTAATCCAAAGGATGTTGATTAAATTGAAATAAAATAAAATAATTTTATATGTGTTTGTATGTTTATAAATTTCCTATAAATTAGTTGTTACATCATTATTATTATAAATTAGTAGATTTAAAAAGCATACCAATGAATTTTATTTATTTATTTTTTGTAATAGGGTAATTTTTGTCATTTCCGGTCTTCAGTAGATATTCATCTATAGATCGAATACAATAAAAATTAAGGACCGCATGTCTGAGATTAGTGTTGCCCAAACGTGAGACCGAAACGAGTCTTGGTATTCCGCACTCAGTCTTGGTCTTGGTCTTGATCTTACACAAGAGTCTTGCAACAGCCTGTCAGTTACTAATTAGCTTGTTACTATATAGATATTATTGATTTTTTTTTTTAGATAGAAAAAACATAACTAAGCCCGAATGAAAAAATCGAAGAGTTAAATGCAAAAGTATATTGGTTATACCAATTCTTTTGCAAAGTACAAGACCAAGACCTATTAAGGGCAACACCATCTAAGATCATACAGATACATACAGATCATACAGATCCTCTACCTGGAGTCTCAGACAGAAACATAAGCGAGCCAAGCACTACACTTTTAAACGCTCGTGCTTGCCTTGGTTTGGGTAAGATGTAAACACGGATAAACAGAAATTGGTTATAGACAAAATAATACTAAGCGCCTACAATTGTAGCAATGAACTTATTTATTGATTATTTACATATCATAAAATATGTAAAATTTTAATTGGATATTTAATAGTTGACCGTTGCATTATAAAGGAAGGAGATGGTCCGGGGGTGGTGGTCTATTTTATTAAAAGCCAACGTTTCGACCAGACTTTGCAGCTAGGAGTTTCACTTAGAGCTCTGTAACTCCTAGTTAAACACACCTCACTTAAGAAGACCTGCAAAGTCGGGTCGAACGTTAGCTTTTAATAAAATAGTTTTGACACTATTTAGCCTATTTATGACCGCCACCCTGGACCATCTCCTTCCTTTAAAATTTTAAGTTATTTAACGCTCGTACAAGACCATAAACAACTATTTAAACTATGTCTAATTCTTAAATTAAAATATAACAACTCTTTCCGATTTCGTCAAGTAAGGTCAATTTAATGCCAATAGTAATTAACCTTAAGTAATTAAGGTTAATTAATGCCTAGAGTACTTAATTTAATGACAATTAATGCATTTTTTATTACTTTTTAACCTAATTTAGGGAACCATTTACAACATTTTTTTCGGCATAGATGCAATTAATCCCTCTGTTATCCCCACTTCTATTATGGTTTAATAGGAACCCTCAAAGAGCAGAGAAATGCCATTTAAAAGAACAATTTAATAGGATCCTTTTATTATTAATTTATTACTACTAATTAATTTTGGTATCGTTATTATTTAAACCACCGAATAACCCTGTTATTAATGTTTTATTTTTTGCTAATACACCGTAAAATATTTAATAGAATGTTAAGAAGAAGAACAAACACCAAACAGCAGCTCCTTGTAGAAAAGCTTATATAGGTTGGCTATCCGACTACTTATCAATTACTTACGGTCGGAAGAAGTTCGGGCGACCTCTCGTAACGAGCCAACATTTTATCGGATGTGTGTCAAAGGAACAGGGTCGCTATGACCGATTTCGGCTCCGAAAGGCACCATCGGCCACAAACAATCTTTCCTCTTTTGTCCATCATCGGCTCTTCAAATATTCGAAGAAATAGGTCGTCTACTGACAATCCCACGCAGTTTTGCATTTTTTGAGCAGGAAACGATTTCTAAATAAGGTAAACCACTTTCTTTCTCATGATTTAAAGTCGCTATTGATTTCGTATGTTAAATATTATGTTGGCTCTGGAGTTCGTATGTTAATCAAACATTTAATTATGAATCCAGATTCAAAAATCCCATGTATTTAAATTAAATAGGGCCCACTCTTCAAAATGAAAAAACATACTCCAAGTAAGCGACCGAAAGTACTGTGCTCATTTTTTACCCTAATCAAAATTGGAAATTAGACAAAAATTAAATACGTACAGTTACTTACTCAAACCCATGTAGGTATATGCTTCTCCGAGTTTACATTTCAGTAAAACATACGCACATACAAAAACTACAATCATTTCAGTCCATAATTTTAAGGGAAACAACAATTCCTTGGTACGTAAACAACAACAACAAAACTTAACATTAGTAATTATGACAACCAACTATCGACCTACAAAAGCGTACTCTTCACTCCCAATTTCATATTAAACTACACGGACAGAATAGGCTTTAATGAAATATCCACGACTGACATGCCCATCCGCAGGTGACTGAAAAAAGAACTGGATGGGCGACCTCCTTTCCTGAATCAAGGAAATAAGGAGTGAACAGGTAGATTTACTGCTGATCAGTCATCATTCCTTAATCAATCGCTGTCTTTATTTGGTTCCAGAGATAAATTCAACAAAATATATGATTTTATTTTTATTTAAGTTCCTTAATCCATTAAGTTTCGAAGTGTTTGACCGCAGAAAATGTAACTCCAGGTAAGTTAACTTAAAACAAATATATATATATATATATATATATATATATATATATATATATATATATATATATATATATATATATCAAATCTTATTATTGATTAACAACATTTATAAAAAAAAGAAATTTAAAATAGCCTACGCATTGTAAAATGTATGAAAAATAAATAGGATAAAGAAAGCGAGAGAAAGAAAATGAATAAGACTTAAAAGAAGGAGTGAGAGTGTCCTAGGGATACAAGGACATTTTTCTCTTATCTCTTTTGGCAGATGTCGCGATCTTAAGAGAAACTCCGGCTTAGCATCAATCTCATGTTTTATTAATTTTTATCGAACTTTTAATTATAAAACATTAAAAGTAACATATTACATTTGTAACTTACTATGATTTTTATTGGTAACCAAAATTAGGTAATTAATAAGAACATTTTTTTTTATTCTGTTAGTATTATCAGAGAAGAAATTAAATAAAAATGCTCTTCAACATATTTTTATTTGATTTTCAACGGTTTGAAAAATGTTAACTGGAGAGATGGTAAGTAACGATATAATATTTACTTTTATATATTAGTTGTAATTTACTTTTAACAAATACAAATTTCTTGTTAAATTGAAAAATGAATCTGCGACATTACAATCGATTTTTTTTTTTCTAAAAACGAACTTAATCTCAAAAAGAATACATTTGAAAATATTACACCGCATAAAGTGATGGTTAACTAGCTAGCTATAAAAATGGCTCTAGCTTCGTTTTAACAATAATGTCTTAAAGATATAAATTATATATTTTTTTCTTGTTGCACCTACTCTGCTGGGTCATTGACAACACATTCAATTAAAACTCTATTATAGAGTTTCACTTTTAGGAATGTTAATTGTTTTTTTAACTGCTTTGTCGCTGTCTTTTAAGTTTTCTTTTAGATTTGGTTCTATGTCCAAATTTTCCCTGAGAGTTTTCAGAGTGGGATAGTCTTTAAAAATGTCTTTTATTATAATTTTTTTTTTTTTTTTGGTTATTACGATTCTCGCAGGTCGGAGGATCAAGTCCTCTTAATAGGTAGGCATGTAAGAACTCACAATGTCTAATTCTTAATTTTCAGAGGGCTGCCTCTTCTTTTCTAGAGGGAAGATAAGAGGTTTTCCATCTTGAGCAGTGGATTTTTATTTCCTTTTTTTAACTCTTTTTCGTCCCACTTATTTGTCACATTTACCAAATATCTTTCTTAATGTTTTTTAAGCTTTCCTCTAAAGTGATTTCGTCGATAGATTCCACCGGAGTTGTACCAGCCTTTCTTGCCATGTTGGTCGGCCCGCTCATTCCCGATGATACCGCGAAGGGACCCACATGAATACTACTTCCTTGGTCTTCTCCCTTAGTAGCCATCAGACGTTTCTCATTTTTTCCTTTAGTACTTTAGTTTTTGGCCTGGTATTTTCAACGGTTAATAATTTCTACATCGAGTCCATCACCGCGGTAGTTTCCGTTGTCACTAAGGACTTAAGAGCTTCTCTGATCTCTCCATTTCACCAGTAAAAACTGAGCAACTTTCCGGGAGTTTTCAAGTACGAAAATTTAGAACTGAGCATTCTACTTCCTTATCTATTTTTGAAGCATCCGTATACAGGATAATAAAATCCTTATATTTTTCTTTTTTTTTTTTTTTTTTTTAATTTCTTTATTGAGTATTATAACAATCTGTCTGTTCGACATTGGTTATAGTGAGGTAGGATGACATTCACACCATATGTACAAAAAAATAAAATAAATAGAACAAAATAATAATCAAAAGTATATACAATAGACAATAAAATAAAATAACCTAAAAAATAAGAAAATTAAAACTAAGTAAAAAAAAAAAAAAAAAATAACATGCATACCTATATACAATCAGGCGAGGGAACTCCAGGAGAACCCTGCGCTACTCTTCCAACCGCGTCACTGGTACTAAAGCCAGCGGAGATTGGTCGAGAGCACTTTAGCCACATACACACATGTCTTGAGTGAAGAATCTGGCCATTGCCAGAACTCCAATTTATATAATTTACAAAAGGTCGCGAGGCCACTGCCGTTTCAACCTTCTTGGAGGATTATAGGGATGGGAGATGCTTGATAGGGATTGTGCAAGAGGATTTGGGTGGTAAGTAAGGTTCTGGTGAAATTTGGAGAACTTTTCTGGGATAAGGTCTAGGACAAATGGGATGTTAAGGTCATGATGTAGGGTTTTGTTGGATACATAGAAAGGAGCGTCGACTATTGTTCGAAGGACTTTAGACTGGAAGGATTGGATGCGCTTGATGTTAGAAAATTTTGCTGATCCCCACAGTTCTAGTCCGTAAGTCCAAATAGGTTTCAGTATTGTCTTGTAGATCAGTAGCTTGTTTTCAATGGAAAGTTTAGATTTTCTGCTTAGTAGTCGGTATAGTTGGCCGTATCGTCGGTTGAGTTCTTGTCTTTTGAGTCTAGTATGCGGGTTCCAAGTTAGTCTTCGGTCTAAATGAAAGCCA